GCTAACATCATGCATGCATATAACCACCACAATTAGGCAGTGACATTCATTTTGTGTGAATATTTGTTAAAGGTGGATGGAATATGGGAGGCATGTGCAATGATAAGCAGCCGACCATGTCAGGATGCAAAAAAAAACTAAAGGAATGTATGCAGCAGCTGCTCTCTCATCTTTAATTAAGTAACAAATTACCAGAAAAGCTGATCCAAGTTTTTTCTTTATTTTTATGACAGAGATTAGCTCTTAATCAACAATATATGAATTAATTTTATACCAACTAAACGATAAAAGGAGAATCAATCAAGATTTAGTGTATTTTTGAGTGTTTAGAAGAAAAGAGTTGGTAGTAGAGAGATTGAATACACAGGGCATCTTTCTTTGCTTTGACTGCCACCTGAATGTATTAGTCTTCGTTAGATGTATCCTAATCTATTAATGTGTTGTTTCGAAAGAATTAAATTTGATTCAAGTGTATTCCAATATCTACTAGAAACTTTGACCACTAAACATTTATCCTCTATCCAAGCCAACTATTATTCAGTGGATGAATTTTCCTACTCAAACGGTGAGATTCCAAGGCAAATTAAATTAAAGGAGAGAGCATGTATGCACTGTACCCTCTCCTGTCCTAAGTCCCAACCAGCGCTGGGCTGCAGCACTAGCTCTTGTAACTTGTCTTTATGCAAAACTTACTCAAATGCAGTCTGTTTGATTAACTATTGTATTGGTAATAACAGGAAGAGCACCCCTGTCACACTATCCCTACAACTTTGGAATGAGAATCTGTAACAGGGCAAATTTTAAAAATTTATGATGTTTTTGTCAATTTTCATAAATAATTTGTGTAGTTGAAAGAAAATATGTAAAACTAATTATTAAATTAAAGGAGACGAAGCACTAATATGGGGACGGACAGGTTCGCCCTATCCTAAACGGCAGTGCAAACTCTTATTACTAGTGGTAACAAGGCAAAACACGTTTTGCAAGTCCAGTTGTAAAGTAAATTTCTGCTTTTGCTTTGTCTCTGTACATCTTTCATTCAAACTTTTTTGGATGGGTGTCCTTTCATTCATATGACTTTTTGTAAAGCGGCTAAAGCCCATGCCATGCCATGGGATGGGATGTGTTTTACTTCTATTTCAGTTTCCCATTTTTTAATATCCAATGACCAATATAACCAAACAAGTTGGCCAGTTCATAGTGAGTATTTCAGCATTTTTAATTAGAATTTTTAAAGTTTATCTTCAATTTTAATTACCGTTTGAATTTCTCAGCTTAATTAAGCATGTGCCAGCTCATTCCAAGCTGCAGCCTGCCTTTCCTCCGCACTACCATTTACTACTACTAATTAATGTAAATAGAAACGACTAAAGATAATGTTTGCCAAATATTAAGGAAATAATAATACTTGTATATATATGATAATTTGTTGAGAAGAGTCAATTTAATCTAAATTTTCAAATCTTACACGTCGCAAAGGGACCATGAAACTACTAAACTAAACTAAACTAACAATGTTCTAAAAATGATTAATGATTTTTTTTTCTTCCCTTTGTGTGTGTGTGTGTAGATCTTGCAGTTAAATTTAACAAAATTCACTAAAACTATCAGAAACAGGAGAAGATGTGATTGTAGCCGTTGTAGTTGTTCACAAAGTTGATGAATCTTCTTCTCCAGTAGTGTAAGATGGGATTCGCACAATCTTTCTACTTCGTTTTCCATTTTTATTTGAGAGAACCCTTAGGAAAAATCTTTTGTTTCCATCGAGTTAAAAATAAAAATAAAAAAGATGTTCATATCCCTGATAGACTAAAGTCATCATTTAATAGCTGTTTTGCTCCAACCTATGCTTTTGAAGATTGAGTGACGATTTAGTTATAATTAAAAATACATTTTTTTTTCTCATAGATCCTTTATTTAATACTTATTGACTTGGAAGGATTCATCCAATTCAAAGTTAATTATGTTCCGAAATTCCATAATCCAATTTTTCAATCTATAATTGATCCTTGGATACAAATGACAAGAATTATATTATTCCTCAAATCTTTCATTGAGAGATAAAGGATTTAATCCTTTTAAAAGAAATAAAGTTTTGATCAAAATTAGGAATAAAACCGAAGGACCCCCCTTACCTATCAAAAAGAGTAATAGAACCAATCACACTTTTACCACTAAACTATACCCGCTACAGTGTGATTATTGTATATAATCAGACAGCCTGCACCGAACCAACCTCCTCAGTTTCCAAGGGCCGATCCGAGCATCGACCACATCACCCTCTTCACCCTCACCAACGATCCCTTCATCCTTTCCACCGTGCTCTTCTTTCTGCACAGCTGGTAGCTCTCAGGAACACCTGCCTCTTCTCCATCATCCTGTACTTTTGCATGAAGAAGGTTTTCATCAGCACATAAAATCCTAAATATAGGAAAGCAACAACCAAAAATCAGAAGAAATCAAAATAATGGATCTCATCACAATTACATTTTCAGGTTCTAGCAGCCACTTTTAATTCAAAGTCACATTTAGAGTTGCTTCGCTGGTGATGAGTCGCAACTTGCAGGCCACAAAGAACAAATTGGACATTAGAGCTACCACTTCTGAAGGATTCAAGTCATCTGCATGAAATAATGTTTTATTTCTCAATCAAAGTGTTATCTAATTTTGACTAACTTCAAGAAGAAAATGTCCCTAACACTATCTCAGTTCTCATTAACTTAAACAAATAGAACTGCTGTTCACGTAGTTCAAACTTCAAACATGTAATCTATAGTATGTTGTCAAACAGAAGTGCCAACCATTGAAAGTTGAAACATAATGAAAAACATGATCATTTCATCAGGAACAATAGCTCTGTTTCACTTATACAATATTTCAGATATTCTGATAAATGGTACCTCAAATTTCATCCTACTCACCAACAATCCTTACAAGAGCACAGACCATCCTAGAAATGATGGAACCTCTTAGCATCTCGCATTATGAGCTGTCTGCCAACAATCTTTGAAATGATCTTCATTGAAGTATGGCAATCACCACAGAAACGAAGATTCTTGATTACTCAAATAGGTGAGCAAGCTGCAGTAGTCATGAGACCATGAACAACAGCAAGCCTTTCACTATGACCAAGAAGAGCTTCTTCCTTTCCTTCCTGGTCTATATCATGCAATATGGATCTTGTCTCTGGAATATAACCAAATTATTTCATTTATTCCTTCAAACATCTTAGCAACGCATAGATTTTATCACTCTCAGGGTGAGATCTATCCACTGCTCGATACTCATGGACCCTGCCCTTAACTCTCAAAAGATTGTGACTAGACAACTTCTTTTTCTTTATCTCTGCAAGATCAGAGGCTTTCACTGGTATAAGACCTGCCTTTGACAGTTCACTCAAGTGAGAGGGATCTAGCTAGTCAATCTGCTCAGCACAACGATCCCCTAGCTCTAAGTGTCCATGAACTTTGCAGAGATTCATCAAAGTTTCCCAAACATCAACACTGGGCTCAAATGGCATCTCTTCAATGAATTCCAAAGCTTTGTCTAGATATCCTGTACCACCCAGCATTTCAACCACACTTCCATAGTGCTCAATGGATGGATAATACCATAATCGTTGCTCATGGATTCAAAGTGTAGCATTCCCTCATTAATATCACCCAAGATACTACAAGCAGAAAAGACTCCAATGAACATTTGGCCATCACGTTTCAACCCTGCTTTCTTAAATTGGATAAATAAATCAAGGGCATCTTCACCAAGACCATTCTGAGGAAGCCATGTTATCATGGTGTCCCAGGAAGTCAAATTGCGACTTGGCATTTTGTCAAAAACTTCAAATGCATCATTCATAGAATCACATTTTGAGTACATCTCCAAAATCTTGTTGTAGGTGCTCAACTTTAGAGGAGATAATGTTCTAAGGACATGCTCATGAATGCTTTTTGCCTCTTTTAAAGCTTTTTCCTCCC